ACTCTTGAAATTTCATTCTTCTGTATCCCAACTCCTGGATTTTCCTTCTCCATAATATAATCCATGGAGTCAAGAATCCTGCCCTGTGGTAATGGTAAGGGGGGGAAACAAAGAAGTATGGATCGTGGCTCTTTGCTTTAAAAAAATGCCTATTGCTTAGTCTGGCATATAATTCCACCATAAGCCATACTGAATAACAACATAGGACGGGAATCATCTTAAGGCAACTTGTTTCATGTTTCCATCAGGATTCCACCTGCAGGGTTAGGGCCAGCTGGGTAGGGAAGCTATGCAAGGAAGTGGCAGATGGCTTGGAGAAAGGTGCTGGAGACCTACCTGACCAGCTGGGAGGGCCATTGCCCAAACAAACACGTTAAGGGTTGTCATTGTGGGTCACAGAGCTGTAATCTTAGGGAGACAGCGGTGGCTCTGCCACCATGAAAACCAACCCACCTCCTAGAGCTATGTGTGAAGGCCTCCTTTGGAGAGTGGTCAAGGACATTCTCAAAGAGTTGACTGAAGAAGAAAATGATGTTCCCAATGAATAGTAAGAACAGGGGCTTTTCATCCTTCCATTACTTTAAGCATCTGACCAATATGGGGGAACAAACGGGATCGCTCCAAAATAGAAGTCAACAGGCCTCAACTGTGGCTTCCATCTGGATAACCCGAGCTATGGAGCTATCTGTCCCTTGTGCATGGTGAAGGCTCACTGGGCAATGACAGGTGGGATCAACTGAGCAGAGAGTAGAGCAATAGTTTGCAAGGTAGAGATGGGGTTGGACAGCTCTGACCCCGTCCATCAGGGGGAGAAGAAGTCCGTGGGGAGGGGAAGGCACCCAAGGCTTTTTTTTTTTTAATTGGAGCCAGCCTTGGATGTGCCAACATTGACACTTGAAGGGGCATGATGGACCAGCAGCCCCAAACATCAATTATAACAGGCAGAAGGCACCCCTGGGTCTGGCCTTTAAGCATGTCTTATGGGCCTGGCCTGGCTTAGGAGCACAAGGAGTGAGGTTTGTTGGCCTGGTACACCCCCGGTCTCAAGCCAAGCTTTTGGAAATCCCTTTGCTCCACTTGACTTTTTGCTGTTTGTGTTTTGAAGCCTGGTGAACTTGGATGTCAGGGATGAGAGTTTATATAAATACACAGGGGTTATTGCTTTTGCCCACATAAGAGCTGGTGTCTGATTGTCTTCAAATCCCAATCGCAAGAGAACTGTGGCAGGAAAGGGAGGGAGTGTGTGTGTGTTGCCCTTTGTGAGTGTCTTCACCACAGTAATGAAAACTACAGTGACAAATTTTATCTGTTAGCACAATTTAATCCCACCAGCTTGACTAAAATCCTTCTTAGCAGCCCTCCCTCCCACGTTGCTGTTCTTACTGCAGCCTGCAGTCTCACTAAGGAGGCTTGTTCTGCCTAACGTCCAGTGACAACAAAGGCCTCTGGAATCTGTATGTCCCCAAAGGAAAGAAAGCTATGGGTTGAGTGTCAATGTTTTATATTTTGATTAAGAAAAAGAGATTTATTTGTTTATTCCTATTTCTTTCTAAAAAGGATTGAAGTCTGCTTACACTGGGAACAGGCTATATATTGTTTCCCCATGTAGCATGAGAACATGCTATATATTGTTTTGTTTTTCTTTGCTTTTTTGTTATTTATAGTATACAGAAATACTTTACTTTTATATTTTTCAAGCATTCTTACTCACAATTTCTTTGGTAATGTTTTTCTGTTTTTTAAAACCTGTAATTTATCTCCTTCTGCAGCTGGGTCAAAAACTCTACTTTTGGGGGTGGCAAACTAGGGTTGTGAGCCAACTCTGTTTTTGAAAATAAAGTTTGATTGGAACCCAGCCATACTCATTTGTTTATTATTGTCCATGGCTGCTTTTGTGTTACAGTGGCAGATGTGTGTAGTTGTGACAGAGACCATAGGACCCACAACGCCAAGAATATGTACTGTCTCGCCCTGTATAGAAAAAGTTTGCTGACCCCTGCTCTACTCCATAGTTTAAAATATTTTTAACATATGATCTTGCCTCATTGAATTTATCCTTATTGACATGATGTGGCAGCAAGTGTCAGTTCTTCTCTACACCAATGTTACCCTGCTTCCCCTGAATGCCTAGTCACACTGGTATCTACCCAAACTGCAAAGGCTTTCTCTTCCCTCTCTGTCCTGGACAGGGAGCTCAGCCCTGTTCCTTGATTTCCACCCTCCAACACAGCACACAAGTCAGCATGTAAGTCGTGGCCAAAAGTTTTGGGTGAAAATAAAGAAACACCTTTGTAGTGAGGACTAGTCACCTATCTCTGAAAATCCCTCTGGCAACCCCTCCTGCCCCCACTGGAATGACCTCCAGGATCATCTTGCTCTTTAGGACTTAACCATATTGTCTGTCCCATCTCTTCCTCAATACCCACCTTATATCTGAATCCCCCTTACTTGATCATGGAGAACAATCATGTTCTCCACTCCTAACTTACATGGTATACCTGCACATCCTCTTAAACCTGTATGTACCAGTTATTGGACAATAACTAGAGAGGGAAACATTCTGTGCATGTGTATATGTGAGCAAGAGAGAGATTCAGGGGGAACCTAGGCTTCCCTAGGCTTCAGGTTTCTACAAGGAGAGATATCAGTTTGTGGAATACTTATGGCCTCTCTCTAACCCCTCACTTATTCTTCCCCAGGGAGAAAGGATGTCTAATATTATTGATATATTTGGGGTAAGGACTATGCATGTTGCTCCTTCCTCAGTCTCTTCCTTCTTGAGACACAGCTGCCTAGAGGTTCATACTCCGGTCTTGCAGTTCAGTGGAATAAGTTCAGCGCAGGGGAGTGGGGCATCTGGTCCATGGGGTAGGACTACTGATCAAGAGTGGCATTTGACGAGCAGAATAACTCCCATAGGTGGAAGCTTTAGGAGGGCCAGGCCATGTATCTGAAGGTGGGTTTCCCATTAGGAGACACTGAAATAATGATCTGAGTGTAAGCGGTTTACCTGGAAGGTGAGTTTGGGAAGCACCAGTAAGGGGGGGTGGGAAGGGAATGTAGCCAATTAAAGATGTATTATCAAGCCAGCCAGCACTGTGGATGATTAGAATGTAATCCCACAGTAGGCCCCGGAAAATGGTGTGGAATTTGCACCTCAGCATGATCCTGCTGGAGCAGTGAGGGAACTGAGGTATCTATACTTTCGACAGTCATTGACTGAGGGCTGCTCCTCGAGGGGGTGAATTTCTGGCCTACCCCACATCATAAAGTAGCCTTCTTCAGCTTTAAGAAAAACCATTAGGCAAAGAAATGCAGATACTGACAGTTGGAAGTTCTTCAGGAGCTCCCTGAAGCTGTACGACCAGAGGGAGATGGATGGGGCTAGAATACTCTGTGTCACTAGCAGAGACTCCAATGTCAACGGGTGAATTTGGCATCTCCTTCTTAGTTGTGCTTTACTCTTATTGTGTGACTTAAGGATTGAGAGAATCAAATTTTGGGCTTTGGCAGGATTTGTTTTCTGATCATCTAATCTTATGTCTAGCTATTAGGTGTGGCTATTTTCAGAGCTCATGGGTCCTGGCCCATCTCCCAAGGGTCCCCTACAGCTTCCTCTCTGTAGGTCCTCTATATAGGGCTACCTGCCTGCCAGACCCCAGCTGCCTCCTCAAGACAAGGGCTGGATTCCCATGACCAGCAGTAGCACCTTTAGTAGCCCAACCAGCTCATGTCCATGTGAAATGGCATCTCTACTCCTTCGTACTCTGGATTCTTCTAGGAGAGAAGCTAAGGCTGAGAAGAACTAAAAAATCTAGCAATTAATTGATGTGCTCAGTGCTCCAAAAATCCTTTGGAGAAACAGATGGTGTTGACTCCATCAAAATTGTTCAGTTGGATTTGGTGATGGAAGGGCATAGAGGGCCCGAGGGAGGAAAGGGAGAGTGAGGGAAAAGCTGTCACAAGACCGTGGATGCTGGAAAAGCAGCTTTGATCAGAAATGAGAAAAAGAGGGAAGCTGAGGACAAGATAAGAAAAGTGAGGAGATCACAACATAACCATAGGCCAAACAGCAAAAACAACAAAAAAGGTAAAGAACTCTCCTGGTCAAAAGAGTAGAACTAGTAGACAGAATGAGAAAGAGGAAAAGAGTTGATGGAAGAGAGGAAAAGGAATTACACTGAACAAGGTGTGTTCTCCTACATCATACAGGATCAAACCATCCAGCCATGTGGATTCAAACAGAGGTAGTCCAAGAACTGGTCCAGTGGGCAATCTCCTAGTTCCAAGTAACAACAGAAGACTGCTGGAATAGTTTAAATGTTTGCTGCTCAAAGAGTGGTCCACAGACCAGCATCAAGCATCCCCTGGGAGCTCATTAGGAATGCAGAATTTCAGGTCCCACCCCAGACCTACCAAATTAGACTGTGCATCTTAACACAATCCCCTTATGATCTGTGAATACAGTGAAATTTGAGGAGCACTGGATTAAACCAAAATATTATGGGATGTCTCATGGACTCTGAGGACAAGGATCTAGCAAGACCTCAAGAACAAACTAGAACCAGCAACCTGAATACTATCAAGATGTTCCATCTATCTCTTGCCTCTACTTCTGAACAATAAAGTCCAATCATAAAAGTGAAGATCAAACTCTTGGGAATCAAATCTTTCAACTGCCAGGTTTCTCTACTTTTAAAATGATCATTGTGGATAAAATCAAAGCAGAGTCCATAGAGAACAGAATTTGAACACTTGGTTACACTCTGAGGAGAAGGTTGAATTTCTTTTAGAACTAAATGGAGACATCTGTTTTGTTTAAATTAAGGATCTGTAAGTACCAGCTAGGGACTGAGTTGACAGCCATTTCTATAATAAAGTAATAAATCATGGGGATGGTTAAAGAAGCAAGGAACCCCACATTCTTTCTTTGTTCAACCAATTAAGCAATAAGCCATCTGGGTCCTTTTGTTAATTACTGTCAAACACAACTTACACAATTGAATTCAGCCTTTTATTTAATTATATTAATTTATTCCAGCAACTTCAAATACAATGCCAATAATTAAGTTCATTTAAAAAAATAGAAGTCTTGTTTAATTTTAGTTTGCCACTATTAATTCCATTTACAAGGTTGCCATCTGAGAATTTTTAGCTCCATCTCAGCCTCAGGATGTTAGGGGAATTTGTTTTAAATATAGACATGTCTGAAGGAAGAAGACAGTGGCTAAAATCTCTTCTCTCAATGGGATGATGAATCTATCCAGATCAACACTGTCCAATAGAACTATTTGCAGTGATAGAATGTTCTATATCTGTGCTCTCCAATACAGTAGCCACTAGGCATGGGCAGCTATTAAGCACTAGAAATGTGAACAGTACAACTGAAGAACTGAGTTTCAATTTTTAAAAAAATTTTAATGAATTTACATTCAAATAACCACATGCAGCTAATGGCTACCATAGACAGCACAAGTCTGGAGTGTATTCTGAGGAAGAAGAAATGCAGTGGGCCATTGACTTAAGCTGGTGGAAAAAGAATACATAATTATGATAGGCATTGTTTAGAAGCCCTCACTTCCTACCTAGTTTTTCTTATTTGAAACACATTGAATTCTGAGATAGCCCAGAGGAGATCAGTATCTTTGAAGGGAGGTTTCTAAGCTGACCACATGGAGAGTGAACTCCACTTGGAGGAGAAATAGGCATAAATGGTGTCTTCTTAACAGCAGAACCAACGCCACTCAACAGCTCCTTATGGCCGAACTAGGTAGGCCAGCACATCAAGGAGAGCCATTTAGCTCTTGCCAGCACTGGCTCGGCTCTAGTGGAAGCATGTTCCTCCCCCAGTTGTGAACATTCAACCTGTGGGCACATTTGGGGGTCCCAGGCTCAGAAACGGCCACGTCAGTCCTAATGGACATTAATACCCAACTCTGGTTCCTTTCATATGAATTTTGGCTCAAATGCAGACATTTCCCTTCTGGGAGGCTTACCTCTTTATGGAGGTTGCTCTTTCTGATCCAGTCAATGCAAACCTTATAACAAGGCATCAGCAGAGTTTCTCAACTGTATACACTTTGTTATTGGGAACGCTCAGTCTGAGCTGACCCTTCCAATAGCAACGACTAAAGAGAAATACATTGCATGAGATTCTGGTTGGGGTTATCCAAGGTAGAGAAGGGCTAGTGCAGGGTGAATGGAGGTAGAAAGTATGGAGGAAATTCTCATTTACATGAAAACATCCTATTCCAGGTCTGCTGGCTCTTGCCGGCTGCCAGGTTGAGCTGGAAAATTGGGTCAAAGCTCTTCATCTCTCTTCAACCCAACTCTTTGCTCAGTGACTTCTCTTCCTTCTTCCGAGCTATGGCTCAGCCAATGAACATGGAATTTGTCCTAATGAACTTAATCCAAAGTTTTGGAGATTTCAGGCCCTCACAACCTCTTCACACTTTAATTTTCATGGTTGGCTACACAGATGATCCACGGTAGGGCCATTTGCAAAAAATTTATCAATTGGATTTATGTATACTTGGAGGTGTTGCCCGAGACTGTCCATACCTCTTTCCTTTATCAGCGATAAAAGTAATTATCAAGTGCTCAATGGAAAAAAACAAAACAAAACAATCTTCTGTACTATGTAATGACCATCTATCAGAGATGAAGACAATGAGACAATGAATCCCTTTTTTTTTTCTTTTTCTAAAACATCCAGAAGTCAATGCAAAAAGGTGCAAGAAGGAAAGACTTTCTATATTCATTCACGGAGCTTTCTTCTCTACTATCACCAGGAATACAAACACAAAAGGATCTGCTTCATGAAATATACATGCTCTTTTAGTTCTCTTGGGGCTGAACTGTGATGACTAAACTTCTCTTTTCCCTCTGACACCGGCATTCATCATTTATCCACGCTGCTGACGTTGTCAAATCGCCACAGCTGGCTGGCTTTTCCATCACACTGGCGCAAGTACAAATCTTTACTGTTTTCCTGCACCACAGCTTCCATGCATTTCCCAGAAAGAATGTGGACAATCATTCCATTCTGAAAAGAGAAAAAAAAGGAAAAGGAAAAAAAAAGAAAAACAAAAAGAAATGAAAACCAGTCAGTTCCCTGCAATCAGTAAGCAAAGAAGGATATTTCTAAGCTTTGTGCTAATCATTACGAGAATTATAGAGGTGGTGTGAACTGGCCTGGTAAGGAATTGTAGTATGTTGGTTAATATAAAATATAACTCAGGTAGCTCTAAATATAAATATTGTTTGGAAACTTGAGGTCATTAATTAAATTATCTTTATTGAGATTGTATAATTGTGCTATTTCTTAGAGAGTTCTGGTTAGTAGCATGCCAGTGTATAGAGCATGTTCAGTCTTTATACCATACTGGTGACATTCACTGTTATCACTGTACTTGTACATTTTTGCTTTCAAAAAGATTTAGTTTGATCTCTGCTCCCTGTGAATCCTGCAATTTAGTACTTCTGCCGCCAGGTTGCTGTAGAGAACAAAAGCTCAAGGATACACAGAGGGCCCCAGTCAGTCATGTTTGGAGGATGATAGCTGCTTCCTGCTCAAAATCCACCAGATTTAATATTGAATCTAGCCATCCCTTTTTCAACAAAAAATTGATTTATTTTTGAAAAGCTAAACATTTTCACTAACAAGGCTGATAATGTCCATTTGTTATTTTTTGAGATAAGATTCACATACCATGATATTCACTCTTTAAAAGTATACAACTTGATGGCTTTTAATACATTCACAGGGTGTATGCAACCCTCACTGTAAAAAGAAACCCACTATCCATTAACAATCACTTCCTGTCCCTCCCTCCTTCTAGCTCCTGGAAATCACTAATTTGCTTTCTGATTAATGGATTTGTCTATTCCGGACATTTCCTATAAATGAAATCATATAAGATATGGCTTTCTGTGATTGGCTTCTTTCACTTTGTGTGATATCTTCAAGGGTCATCCATGTTGTAGCACAAATAGTACCTAATTTCTTTTTTTTTTTCTTTTCATTGTGGTAAAAACAGATAACATAAAAGTTACCATCTTAACCATTTTTAAGGGTAAAGTTAAGTAGTGTTAAGTATATTCACATTGTTGTGAAACAGATATTCAGAACTTTTTCATCTTTCAAAACTGAAACTCTACTTATTAAACAACTCTCCCCTCCAGCCCAGCCCCTGGTAACCACTATTTTACTTTCTGTTTCTATGAATTAGACTACTTTAGATACCTTATATAGGTGGAATCGTACAGTATTTGTCCTTTTGTGACACATTTATTTCACTTAGTGTGATGTCCTCCAGGTTCATCCATGCTGTAACACGTGACAGAATTTCCTTTCCTTTTAAGGCTGAATAGTATTCCATTATATATATATATATATACACCACATTTTGTTTATCCATTCATCCATCATTGAATGCTTGGTTTGCTTCTACCTCTTGGCTATTGTAAATAGTGCTACTATGAACAGTACTTCATTGCTTTTTATGGCTGAACGATAATACTTTAAATATTAAAGTCTTAGTTTTTAATGCTTGAATTATACTGGGTGAATCTTACTCACTAATCTTTCCCTTATTATTTTAAAATGTATCTTATCCACAGGACTTGGTTAGAATGATCCCTTACGATCATTCATAAAGGACCTTAACTTGGTTTCCAAGATGTCTTTGAGCATGTGTGAGCCCCCGAGTCTTAGGTTCACTTGTCACCAAGTAGGGAAGGAAGAGCCTTTCTATTGCTCCTAAAACCACATCACTGAGGTAGTTGGCTACTTCTGTAACATGCTCCATGGTCTTACTGGTGACCTGAGCTAATAAACTTCAAAAAGGGACTGTCTCCTCTCTCTGCCATGATCACCATCAGAGCTTTACAGAGATGTGGCAAATCAGTACACTTCAAGATGCTGGCGGTCCAACTTTGCTGCAAGGTTGGCTTTACTTCCTCCTGAGGCCTTGATGCCAAGTCACCAAGTTCAACAGCAGGGGCACTGGCCTGTATGGTAATACTTGAGCTCTTGGAAGACCCTGGGACACCGTCCCAGCTGCTGAATGCTTCCTGAACAGATTACTTACCTCTTGGAAGTCCCAGTGTTGTTGATGGATGGCAGGGCCTTCTTCCGTGCACTTCTGAAGAATCACCTGCTCTTGCCTGACATCAAAGCACAGTTGCTGTGGACTGCCAAAGTGGATCTCCTTCCTGCTAGTGTGCTTCAGGTGCTGGGACAGGGGGAATTGTTGTTAGCATAGCTAGAAGGAGATCTTCTCTGAAGCTGGAGATGAAGGAAGGAGAGCTCACAATAAGGTTGAGGCCTAGGGCCAATCTTTAGATTCTAGGAGGGTCAGCAATACCATATCTCATAGTCAAATCTACACATACAATGCTAGACTAGACCTAGCCTCTGAAATCTCCACATGCCCCCTGCTGTTGCGTTCATATTTATATGTTCTGCCATGTGTCTCCATTATTCTATTTACTGCATCATAGGTGAGGCCATAAAGAATGCTGTGTGTTGTGAGTGCACTGGAAGAGGAGCAGATGAGGAACACTCTTGAGGCCCAAGGTGATCTCTTTCTGGAGAGATCTGACCTGGCCTGTAACTAATTCTCCTGCAGTCTGTTGCATCTGCTGACTCTCGCTCATGGTCATTTTTTCCTCCCATGTTTTGTAGTATTGGATGTGCGTATCTTTGCAGAGGGGCTTTAACTTTAGGAAGACTGTGTGCCCCGGCTGGAGAGCACTTTCTGACAAAACCATTTTCTGTTCCTGCCAGGTGCAGCCTGAACGAATTTTTATATTAATTTTGTGGTTGGGAGACAAAGTTGGCTTCATGGACATGTGATCTGTGCATTCACGTGGGGCCTCATGCCTAGAAGGATTTAATGTTTTTGGTTTCGTATACTTGGTTTAATGCTCTATTGTTACTATCTTGAAACTCTTAATAAATGAATGATGGACCCCACATTTTCATTTTGCACTGGGCCCCACAAATTAGGTAGCCAGTCTTGCTTGAGGATTCCCACACCACACATAAATTTGAAACCTAAACCCATATTAGATGCAGGCTTATGGTTAAAAAAATTTTTTTGAAGTAACTTTCTCCTATACAAAGACCCTGTGGAGGTAGACAAGTTTCCTTGTCATCTTCCTGTGCTGTGGGTGGATTTTTCTAGTCAAACTTTTGGCAGATAGGTTACTCTTTGAAGGTCAAAGTTGGCTTTATATGATGTCTCATTTCCAACTTCTCACCTGTCACAGGCTGTAGGCTCTCATTAACTACTCCTGCATGTAGCTAATGCCTCTGGATTCCCCAAGTTCCCTCACTTCCGGCAGGATAGCTTGGCCAATGCCCTGTGGCTCTATTTTAAGTTGCCTCTTGATTTTTGGCCCCTGGAGATTTCCCTTTGTCACAAACTCAGTTATGTGTTTCTTCTTAATTTTTATATGGCATATCTAGGTGCTTTTAGGAGAAGGACTTTCAGCTTATCTAGTTCATGATTTTGCTACACATACAAGTCCTTGCTAGTCCCCTCCTCCCCACCAAGAATCAGAAAACCCACAAAAGCTAACATTCTGTTGGCATGCAGGAAACTGCATGATTCCCAGCTGCAGAAGAGGAAACCAAGACTCGGAGGGGTTAAGAAGCCTTCTGATGTCATACAGCTAGAAAGTGGTGAGCTGTTTCTACCACATTACATGGCTTCCTCACTTAGCACTTTATATCTATGTCCTCCTCCCCTGTGCCGGGTGTGAATGCCTTTTGGAGTGTTCTGTAACACTGGTAAAGGGCAAAACTGAAAGAGGCCACATGGATCCTGAGCACCTGTTTCCCCACGTGCCCTCCAGGTGTAGGCCTTCCTCTGGGATCCCAGAGCCTGCACGGCCAAGCCTGGCCTCACAGGTCCTCCCTGCCAGGCTGGACTCCAGACCCTCCAAGACATGTTCTGGAGTTTGCTCCCAGGCTCTTGGGGCCTTACTTGACTCATTTGATCAATATCTCCAGCAACTTGTACTTTGTTGTTTATTTTTAATAGAGGCCTTAATGCAAAGGCCCCTGTCACAGTCTGAAAGAGATTTGGGGGCAGGCTAGGCTTTCTAGGTTCATCCAAGTTGTGAAAAGAGTGGACCCACCAACCCTCAGCCAGCATCACTGAGGCTTCCCACCACCTTGAGAACTTATTGCACGATGGAAATTTTGAGGAAAATCTATACCCTAAGATACAAAGAGACCTTCCTGATAATCAAGGGGCCTACATGGGTACTGGAATGACCCTGCAGCATCTAGAGCCTTCCCCTGACTCAGTTACCTTCTTCTCTCCTCAGACAATAGAGGGCATGAAGTTTACCAACCCCTGGGGTGCTGCAGGAGGAGACATGGTTCTACTCTTTGACTCTTTCCTTTAGCTTCTGGGAATTATGAACCAAGGGTTTTAGAGCTTCATGGACCACAGGGGGCCTCAAGGGATCCATGAGCCCTGGAAATTGTTAAAATTTTGTCCAGATGTGCTTATATGTGTTTTTTTCTGGGAAATTGTCCTTAGAATTCATCACCTTCTTAAAGGAACCATGTGACTTGTAATAAAGAGTCTGACTCCATGTCTGATGTCTGACCTCTGAGCTTTCAAGCTCCACCTGCTTCACCTTATCCCCTTGCTGCACTTCAGGGCAAGCTCATAAGAAAGCCAAGTGCTTTCTTCTTTGGGGCTGGCAGGAAGTTCAAACCAGGTAAGAGCAGCCGGAGTTTGGGAATACTCACCTGGCCCATCCCCCGACCACATAAGCCCCAAAGCCAGTTGCTGGCCTGCCTGGAAGCCTGCCCTGCTCACCCCCAGAAAGTCTCATTGTGTGAATCATGCTTTCCATTCTCTCTTGTTACATGTGTGGAATCATCAGTCTCCAGATCTGAACCAGATTTGGGGTCAAGGGTTGATCCTGCCCCACGGGGCAACGACCAGATATAACCTAAAAAGGTTAAGAACCACAGGCAAGGAATGGACGAGCCACTGGACTGACCCATCTTTACTAGACCTAGATTTTAACCAGGCGCCACCTGGATTTCTCAGTGTTGATTTCAGATTGTCTGCCCTGCGGTGAGCCATCTATATCCAAGAATAGGAACTCCAGCTCCGGGAGGGGCCTGTCCCTGTGGGCAGAGTGACTGCTGGGCATGTTCAGCATCTCTCTTTGGCTGCCCTAGGACCATAAGCTTTTCCTGTCGCCACGGCAGCCCCATCCTTGTCGGGTCCTGCCAGGTCCAACTGTGCTGCAGAGTGGGGCCTCGGGGGAAAGCCGTGCAGTTTGTCTTCCTTGCTGCCTCTTGGTCCCTCCCCAAGCAAGTCATCAGAGCACTGTATTCGGGGGAGAGGCCCCACCAGCCCTGGCATCCCGGGAGAGCTTCTGTGCTATGCCCCTCTGCTCCCGAGGGGCATTTGTACTCTCTGCTTTCCTTCTGACCATGGAGGAAAAGGCTTCCTCCCTGTGGGAGGCATTTCACAGACCAAATTGCTCTGTGCACGGGAAATGTTCTGAATGAGGCCAAGGCTCTGAAGCTGGGAGCCAGTGACTCCATCTGTGTGTAAGCTCTCCTCTGGCAAGTGGAGCATGGTCACCTGAGGCCGGGAGGCCCGTCTGCTCCAAACCCAGCCCTCCTTCTCTGCTCCACACCGACACACAAACACAAGCATGCACACACACACGCATGCAGAGACACCCACCCAGACAGACACAGACAGACAGACAGACACACACACACACACACACACCAGACTCCCGTGGTGCCCTAAAGATCCCCCCCTTTGTGCACTCTGGCTCCCACAGAACCACACGAAGTTTCTGAAAGCCACAACACATCTGCTTGGGAGGCCTCAGAATCAGGGGACTGAGACAAGACTGTAACCACAGTCGTGGGTTTGAGGCACCACTTTCTGGGCTCCCCCGGCCTCCTCAGTGCTTCCGTGTCTACACTGCCCACTTAGGTGACCCACTTTCCCTGTCTCTGGTCCTAATTGGCTGAGGATCTCTGGCCGGTCCAGATGTTTCAGGCAGTGCCCTGGTGGAAATGTGCGTGCACACCGTGGTTCTCTTTGACCTCTGATTATAGATGTTTAATTTAAATGAGGAGATTTTCCATAAACCCTGGGTTTCAAATGTCTTTTAAAATTTGGGGGTGGGACACCTGGGTGGCTCAGTTGGTTAAGTGTCTGCCTTCGGCTCAGGTCATGATCCCGGGGTCCTGGGATCGAGCCCCGCATC